AGATTTACTTTATAGCAGAGCCCATTCAAAAAGCATTCCCTGGTCTAGAAAAATTCAGTCTCAGTACTGCATCAAAATCCACCTATGTGTTATAGCAGTTAATGTGCTCTAGAAGTGTATGCCTTTGGTACACTATTTTTATATTTTGTCTATACATATATTTGTTAGCAGCAGATCAAGCATGTGCATATAAGGACTGCACGAGAGGGCAGTATTTATTATGAAGTCTCTATTATTAAGGAAAAATCTACACCTCAATGCCAATTCTACTGTAGTAGCAAAACTTTTCACATGAAAGACTTGAATTATATCTATGCTGGAATAGCAGCAGGAATTGCAAATGACATGCTGAACAGAGACAGATCTGCGGGAGTTCAAAGAGGCACTGTTTCTTTCAGTATGGTTGGAGCCTTGTCAGATAATTATTTTGTTAGACATTTGACAAGTTAAATGTAGTTCTTGACATCTGTTTTATTGCTCAGATTCATTCTTTATACTTCTTGAGGGCAGATAAAAATAATTTGCATCTTAGCCCCATGCCTTTCCCACAAAAGTACTCACCACACATAAAAGTTGTAATTAAAACGGAACTCTTCTTTTGCTTCCAATTTTGAAGTAGTCAGTGCAGTATCAATGTGATTTGCTTTACTGAGACTCAGGGTGCGAAAACAATTGCTTTTTTTTGGTGGGGGGGGGGGGGGTTAACCAATGATTAGTGGATGCCAGTTGGATAAAAGAATTTTCTTTAAATAAATAAAAAAAGAAAGCTCCTTAGGTCTAAGTAGATGCAAATTTGGGAATTATATTTAAAGTCTCTATAGTAGATCCCATAAAGAGCCACCTCTTTCTAGCAAAGAAAATGGCATCATTAAATTTAAATCCTTATTCACACAGGTTTCTAAGCAGCAAGGACAAAGGCAGGTGGAACTCAGGATTACCCTAAGGATGTGTTCAGTGATGGTGAAAAGAGGAGGAGAGCTGCAGCCATGGTGGACCCATCCCCTATGAAAGCACAGCTTGGATTTACTGTCAAACCCTTCGTTAAGAATTAAAACCCCAGTGAATTTTTAATATTTTTAAAAGATGGATTAAATAAAAATGGAATTGTAAAGGTAAGTTAAAAAGTAATCTTGACAAATTGCTAAAATTGTGCAGTTAAAAAAAATCTGTCATGCATGTTTGTGCTTACACAAAGAAAGGAAGGTTTCAACAAGCACTGCAGAGAGAGGGAGGAGGAGGAGGAAGAGGAGGGCTGATCAGCTGACAGCAGAAGTGGGACGGTAGAGCTACACATTTCTTCTACACGTAAAGTCCAGGGATGTAAAGCAAGAGCTCTGTAAAATGCCGAAGGTTTTAGAACTGTAATGGCAGGTAGAAAAGGACACTGGTCTTGTGTCAGTAGCAGCCCCAGTGTTAGAAGACAGTCTAGGCTTCTAGGAGGAGAAAATAGAAAAGGAGGGAAAGAAATAGGAGAAGGGAAAGGGAGGGGGAAGGGCAAAAAAGCGTAAATCATTAGTAAACATGAACATTAATGCAGCAAACTGCACATCAAGCAATATTTCATTTAGTGCTGATAGCAGACCTTTCCAGAGACCAATTCAGAAAAAGGAAACTTCATTTTTACAAAAAATTCTGAAAAAGTCTCACTTCATGCAAGAGCAGACAACTGTGCTACATGCAGAAATTAGCTGTGGTAAATCTAGATTAGTGGCAAAGTGCTGTTGAGAGAATGGCAGTTCACAATGTCTCTAAAAAGGAGGATTTGCATTAAAAACTGTACCCAGCAAGATATATTTCTGTGAATTGGTTTTAAGGAGAGGAAAAACCACTAGACACGCAAGATCCAATACTGCCAGGTACTAAACATTATGCGAGGTGCTGAGTACCCTTAGCTCCTACTTAAATCAGCAAGTGTTGAAAATGCTCAGCACTTGCAGAATTGGGCCCTTAATTAGAAAGTAAATATAGGAAAATTAACCACACAAATCTTTCACTTACATTCTGACATCCTGCACTCAATGTTTCCTCCAAGGATACCCCACAACTCTACTATAGTCTGGATATTCCAGCCAGGGAAAACAACAACAGAAACCAGCCTTGCGGGGTTTGGCATCACACTGTAAAATTCCCTTTTGTGTTGGGGTATCCAGACTTTTGGGGCTTCTCTACATGGGGACACTCAGGAAGGTTCAGGCAAATCAACGAAAGCCATGAACTGAATGTGCATAAATTAAAGTGTGGTAATCCCCATACGGATGCTTTCTCGTTCAGAGTAAATTGGCTTTAGTTCACTGTAATTTAATCCTTCGTGGAGGTATATCTACACTGCAATTAGGAGGCGTGAATGCAGCTTGTGTAAGACTACCAGAGCTAGTTTTGATTGAGTTAGCTCACTAAAAATAGCAGAGAAGCTGAAGCCATAGCAGGATGGGCTAGATGCCCAAGCACAAGCCCACCCAGGACACGGGGTACATACTTGAGCAGCTAGCTTGTGCCATAGCAGCTTCACTGCTATTTCTAGTGAGCTAGCTCAGGTATGCCTACATGTGCTGCAAGCACACCTCCCGATCGTAGTTAAGACGTACCCTAAGGCCACTTTACCAGTGAGCGAGCGCACCCACAGAGAGGAGTTAAAGCATTTTGAGTTACGAACATTCACTTCACACTTTTAGTTGATTCACCTCAACTTTCCTAGAGTCCCCATGTAGACATGCCCTTAATATAATAAAGGGAGTGCTAAACTGGGAAAAGCCGGGGGGGGGGGGGGGAAGGGGCGGAGGGAGGAGGCCTTTTTTCAGACCTGATTAATCCTAACCACTGTATACTCCAGATAACTGCAGAGAATGTTATATGTAATGAAAGTCATCAAGTCAATGTCCCATTGAATCAGGCTCCAAATACATTCCACTGCAGAAGGAGAAAAAAAGCATAACTATGTGGCTCTGTTTTGCAAAGCTCTCCATGATCTCACTCTACTTCTGTATCACCTGTTTGTCACCACAATTCTGAAGTTATGGAACCTTCTCTGCAGCTCCTACTCTCTGGAACAGTCTTTCTGGATTTTCCCAGCTCATCAACTGTTCATCTCCCTTCAAATCTCATTTGAAAAAGTCTCTCCCTTGTCTGTGCCTCTTAATCTCATTCTCCCTCTATTATTTAACTAACTATTGGAGATCAGTGTCGTGAGACATTTTGAAAAGACTACAGTTGTATTATACACATTTCCCATTACTCTGAAAACCCTATGTTAGTTGATGTTTAAATGACTACTTAAGCTTCCATATTGCTATTCCTATCACTCTGATGTTGCCTTTAGACAACCTCTAACAAGAAAAAATTCTGAACTCCAAACCTCACAAACTTAGACCTCAAAACAGAACCTATTGATAACAAACAGGCTGCAGTCCCCTACAAAGGTCTTTGCTTGTGTTGTTAGCATTTAGCATCTGAGAGGTTAAAATTAATTTGTTATGGTTTACTGAAGACTACCCTTTAAAGACAACTATTACTAAACTCCAGAATCATTCATTCAAAAGAGGACCATGGTGCACCAGTACAGTCAGTTACACATACTTACAATGTCATAATGGGATAAGTCTGGATTCCACTTCTTCCAGCATAAACAACACTGAAAAGAGCAACTGAAGTGGATTGAAAGAGGCTCAGGGGTCACCTTAATTTTATTCTTTCCTGTAAAAATCTACAGCTTTATTCTGACAAGCATTTACAAAAGCAGGTTAAGCACAGAGACTAATGCTGTATTTGTAAATCCTCATCCTCCCAATAAATGCATCCAATTTAACCACATATGCACTAAAAAATAAATAATTCTCTAAAAGCACAAGTACTGACCACAAGAGTTTTCTGCCCCTTCATAGCCTCAGGAAGCTTGTTTTTCTTGAGCCTGGACCTGAAGACCAACGTAAGTGTAACATGCTACCCCAGGAGGTTCCAATTTGGGTCTCTAGTGCAGCCTCTCCAGCCATAGGCTGGGATCACTGTCAAAATAACATTTTTAGCCTCTATTTGGAGCTAGTGATTCAGGAGACCAGCAAATACCTCCGGTCAACGCCAACAATGACAATCACCTCTGAACAACTGTATACTTGGTAGAGCAAAAATTACTACAATGTAAGAGCTTTGGCTGATCAACCATTTCTCCCCCCTTCACTACAAAAGAAAAGTTACCTATTACTGGAATACTTGTTACAGCCAGGTATTTTCCCCAAAGGACCTACCTTAATATTTATGGTGATAGTGATATCCAAGGTACAACAACAAGCTAAATGCAATGAGCAAAAATAGGACAAATAATGCATGTCCCTGACAGACGTGAAGTTTAATCACTCATTCAGATCCTGTCACAGGATATTTGTGTAGAGATTTGCCCATTTAGTCATGGCATGTGTCTTGAAATACCAAGTTATTATGTTCTGCTGTTAAGAGATGGATTTAGGAGGACTTCAAAACTTCAACTTTGATAGCACGCTGCCAAAGTGAGAATCTAAGAATGTCGGGGGAAAAACTGAGAAGAGAAGATGAACAACCAGACCACAGTGAACTTCTCCTGGCAGCTGATGATCACACTGCACTTTGAAACTGGGGAGAACAACATGGGAAGTTCATACTCAAAATTGGGTAGACTTAGTCCAGGTAATGTTAGGGCTTCATTGAAAAGTCATTTTAATATATCAGTATCTCAAATACATCTTCCTTAGGTTAACTGTGGCTACAGTACATGCAGCCTTCTAAAAGGGGCTTTCCTACATATGAGCAATTCTGGTATAGAAGATGCGTTTAAACTAAGCTAAAACTTTTTAGAAAAATCAAGGTTCACTGGGCAGTGAGCAGCTCTTCAGCAAGTACCAAATAAATACTGAAAAGCTCATAGAAAAGAATACTTTGCCAGAACAAAGTTCATCTAGTAGGTTCTGACTGCACCAGAGGAAATAGGTAAGTCTTCCAAAGCTTTGTGTTTAACTCAGACATTACTCTCTTACCTGTACTGTCATCATCTATTCCATGGTCACCATTTTCTAGCACTGCTGGTCCAACAGCTGAAGTACCTGCAATAACCACAGAGAATATCAACCGGTGGGGAGATGTTACTTCTAACCTATATAAGGTTCATCTCAAAACTTTTCGCCAAGATGTTTTTTTTCCCCTCAATACTGCTCAATCCACACCCCAGATCTTCTCTCTGACTGCCACTCCCACCTCCCTTGTATCAGGGTAGGGGGAACAAGCCACCCACTTAATTGAGTCAGAAAAGCCAAATTAACCACTCACCAGTACCATCAATACTTCCTAAGAGAGTGCCGTATTCCAGGCACACAGTCTGTTGCTTAGTCCCATGAAAGTGACCCACAGAATTATAACCTGGGTCTTCTGCAACAACTCACACCACAATTGCGATTATCCAAATCATCTTGGGGATGAACCTTGGACTAAACTGGCTTCCAAAAGGCAACCCCACAGCAGAATTCCCTTAAAGGATATTCAATAAAGTGTCAGAGTAGCAGCCGTGTTAGTCTGTATCCGCTTATGCTCAAATAAATTTGTTAGTCTCTAAGGTGCCATAAGTACTCTTTCTTTTTTCAATAAAGTGTGCCTTTGAAATTTTATTCATCTAACAAAGATAGGCCCTCCTTACTGTACTACTCATTGCTATATTGCATATGGATACTGTCATTACAGCAAAGGCTGTATCACACAAAAACCCTGAGCATAATCTGTTCCAGAAAGAGAAGTTTGCATCTGACTTTCTGAAGCAAGCTCTGGAGTGAGAGACCATTATACAAGAGGTCTCAATACAAATGTAACATATAACCGAGATAAGAAGTGCTTTTGCTCATCCTGAGTGCCCTTTTGAGGGTGACATCCATTTTCCTTCCAGAGAATATTTGAGCCCTAAGGAGACTGACATAGGAGTCCTAGTACTTGAAATTGTTGCCTTTACCCTTTTGGACAAACCACTGTTATCTTAGCCTTATAATTTGTGGAGCTTCCAAAATGCTTTTGGGATACAATTTAAGTGACTCCATTCCTTAACCATGTCCAACTCAGCTTCATTAAAAGAAAGAGTTGGGAGGTTTAGTGTGGGTCCAGAACTGTTACCCTGCATGACAAGGACAAGACTAGGGAGAGACACTCTTGTCTCCCCGGCTGACATGAAACTAACATTTTACAGTTATGGACTAATCCTAGAATAATGATGGAAACTGACATTCTTATTTCAGCTAGTCAAAGCTGAAATCAATAAATATGGTTCAGGATATTTACCTAAGAAAATTTCAATTGAGACACATTATAAAGCATATGCATTCAAGTTTATTTATTTTTGTCTATTACATGAGCACTTAGCTGGATAACGCCTACAAAAGTCAACAAGAGACACATTGCTAAAACCCAGCTCTCATCTCCTAAAATATGTCACGCATCATCAGTATTTAACAAAACTAATAACTAAAGTGAACAACAAAAAGCTGTTTTCATTAAAAATAAAATCAGTCCTGTAAATAGGGGAGCTTAAAGGCAGTATAATGAAAGGTGTTCAGCCTTCAACTTGTTTAATGATATTCACGGTTTCAAGATCAGAGTCCTTCCTCCTCCAAGATTACTTAAAAGAATTTCCTTGGGAGTACTAGGATTTATACCCTGCCTAAACTCAGAAGGCAGTTGAGTACTGCGAGATCCAGTGGCTAGGTCAGAGGACTGGGAATCAGGAGATCTGGGTTAACCCCAGATTGGCCACTCACTCTGTGTGACTTTGGGAAAGTTATACAATTCCCATGTGGCTCAGTTTCCCCAACTGTAACATGGGAAAAGTGAGGCTTAGTTATCTTTGAAAAAGAATTTGAGATCTATGGATGAGAAGCATTATGAAAGCATTAGTACCCTTTGTACTCTAATTACTAGAAAATGCATATATTGCTCTATTACCCACGGAGTTCTCTAACCATCCAAATATGTTTATACAATTCAATATTGATCCCACAATCCCATGAACACAGAACTGCTTAGGGTCAGTAACTATATCCACTTCATGCTTTCTGGAGCAGTATGCAGAAGAAAGGCTTTTATATTAAATTGTAGCCTGTCATTCTCCAAAATACACAGTGATCTTTAACAGCTGGATTCTGTTGGAATTAATGTTGTGAGCCAGGTTGCCAGCATTATTGGACATCTTCAGACCACCACTTCAAGCAGACATAAGGCCATTTAGTAAAATGGCAATACTGTATCCTGCTGGCAACAAGCCCTGTACAATAAAGGAACTATTGGAATACCCTATCTTTTCTTCCAAAAGCTGCTGCTCAGCTTCTAGGAACTGATCCCTGTTTTCAGTTGTAAAAAGCATAGTAAAGACAAGCAACTGCAGGAATCATACAGAGCAGCAAGAATTATTTTATTCTAGTTAATGGTAAAGAACATGCTTCTTTTAACAGAACCTCAGCATCTCTGGTTGTTAGCTTTATGTTATGCACTGGGGCACCAATTTTTATCTGTAACCAGGAGGAATAACATTTTTATTTTAAATGAAAAACAAGACTTTCCAGGGAGAAAAAGTTAAGACACCATTCATTAATGAGTGCTTTGTAAATTAAGGGTTAAAAACTAGAGTCTGACTTTCTATCTAATCCTGCAAAGGGTAGGGACTAGAACAGCTGCATTGTACCTCAATGCTCATTCTGACTCAGCTGTGCTTGCTGACAAATTAGTATAGCTAACACAGCTATCTTTAAGTGATGTCCATGTTAAGTGACAATAGGTTGCATAGCATGCAGCACTCAACAGGATCAATACAGGCATATTCCTACATTCCTTTGCAACAGCTTCAAGTTATCCAAGCAGAGTCCCTCCTTTTCACCCACTCAAACTTTAGGCAAAATCCTCCTCCTCAATCCCTAACCTTGTGTCAGCAATTCAGAAAATAGTAGGCCAGTTAAGTGAGTGGGACTAGAAAGCCATGATCATTTCACTCCCCTAGTGTTCTGAAAGTAAGCATCACTGACCATCACTGAGATCACCTGCTGAAACTGTCAGTTTTCTACACTGCAATAGCAAAAATATTCTAAAAATAGAAAAATGAAATTGTAAAACTACAAGTGGCTGCAGAGGGACTAAAGAACAACTGTAGTACACAAAAAAGCTTTTAACTAACATTTTAAAATGACTAGATTTCATGTTAGGCATATCCCTTTAAAAAGAACAGCTTTACACAAAGATTCTGTATCCAGTTAATTCAGACGGGGAAGAAACCTCTGCATGTGGAGCCCAGATGCAAGTGAAGAGATAGATCTATGAATCAAACAGCTAGCCAAATGTGACCAGAGCTGGGAAGGTATCAAAAGATTACTACATAAAAGCTTTTACAGTGTGGTAAAGCACTATTTGCTGGGCTGATAGCAGGGGAACCGCTCCCTGCCCCAGCTCATCTCCGCCACCCTCGGCCTGAGCAGGAAGCCACCGCCTGCTTCTCAGCCTTCCCAGGCTTCCCGCCAAACAGCTGATTCGCGGGAAGCCGGGGGAGGGGGCGGAGAAGCAGAGCAGGGCAGCACATTCACCAGAGGAGGCGGAGCGGAGGTGAGGAGAGGTGATCTGGGGCCAGGCGCAGGGTGGGGAGCTGCCGGTGGGTGCTCTACATCCACCAAATTTTCCCTGTGGGTACTCCAGCCCTGGAGCCAGAGGGACCTGCTGGATGCTTCCTGGGAGCTGCCCCAGGTAAGCACCTCCAGGACTTCCCACCTCGCCCCCCAGCAGGTGCCTCTGACTCTTGGGGGCGGGGTAGGCACCCACTACGGTGGCCCATGAGACCCTCCTGCCTGGTTCTGGGGGCAGTCAGAGGATGGGGGGCGGGCGGGGGGTTGGATGGGGCAGGAGTCCCGGGGGCGGGGGTGGGCAAAGACCCCCTCGTGGGGTGAGGAGAGAACCCATTGTTAAGATTCTGGCAGCTCATCACTGGGTATAAATGTACTGTTATTACCAGGTGTGTTTTGGTAAAAAGGCCTTGGAGCTGAATATATACTTCTATTTCAGCTATACGAAGTGCGGTATACAAATTCCCAATAATCTTTTTTAAGACCAACCCCACTATCATCATAATCTGAACTATTTAAGAGTCAAACACATCAAGACATCCAAACTCCATAATCCTTGTCAGAATCACAAGATACTACTTGCATCTGGCCAGTGCAAAGGATTGCCTTTATGTAAACAAATTTAAGAAAGCGTCCACTAAACCAGATAATCTCAAGCAAAATGGACAGGGCCAATATATTAAACAATCTCCACATTAATGGCTTGGCATGGTACACCACACGGTCTCCCACAGTATTCTTGTCAGCAAGTTAAAGAAGTATGGGCTGGATGAATGCACTATAAGGTGGGTAGAAAGTTGGCTAGATTGTCGGGCTCAATGGGCAGTGATCAATGGCTCCATGTCTAGTTGGCAGCCGGTGTCAAGTGGAGTGCCCCACGGGTCGGTCCTGGGGCCGGTTTTGTTCAATATCTTCATAAATGATCTGGAGGATGGTGTGGATTGCACTCTCAGCAAATTTGCGGATGATACTAAACTGGGAGGAGTGGTAGATACGCTGGAGGGCAGGGATAGGATACAGAGGGACCTAGACAAATTGGAGGATTGGGCCAAGAGAAATCTGATGAGGTTCAATAAGGATAAGTGCAGGGTCCTGCACTTAGGACGGAAGAACCCAATGTACAGCTACAGACTAGGGACCGAATGGCTAGGCAGCAGTTCTGCGGAAAAGGACCTAGGGGTGACAGTGGACGAGAAGCTGGATATGAGTCAGCAGTGTGCCCTTGTTGCCAAGAAGGCCAATGGCATTTTGGGATGTATAAGTAGGGGCATAGCGAGCAGATCGAGTGACGTGATCGTCCCCCTCTATTCGACATTGGTGAGGCCTCATCTGGAGTACTGTGTCCAGTTTTGGGCCCCACACTACAAGAAGGATGTGGATAAATTGGAGAGAGTCCAGCGAAGGGCAACAAAAATTATTAGGGGTCTGGAACACATGACTTATGAGGAGAGGCTGAGGGAACTGGG